ATATTGGAAATACTGACTGAAACTTGCAGACTTCCTAAAACCATTTAATCCATTAATCAAAATGTGTGTAAGTCCTTTCATACAGGGAACGGTGGTACTGCACTTAAGTATAGTTTTGAGGTATTTATACTTTATTATTTCCATTTTCTGCTATTTCTACTCCACTACAGTTATTTGATATCTTTCATTATTGGTTACTTCACAGATTTAGATCAATCATACAAAATATAATTAGCAAATAACTATTCCAACTTTTACTTTGTAAAATCTCTGAGTCCTTCTTCCCCCTCTGCATTCTCTGCAGGTGACTCATTAATAATCAGACAAACATGAACAGGATAACAGGATAACACAGGATAACATGAACAGGATGGATAAAGACAATAAAAACAGACAACACGTGGACTTCTCTGGGGAAATGCTGTTAAAGTCTTACAGGGAAAGGAAATTAATATAATACGGCCAGCTATAAATAAGAGCAGAGCCACATGAGTCTATACAACCTACATTCACAAAAACCAGGTCGTGTACAAAGAACCGATCTGAAAGTGTGGCTCAAACACACTCATACACACATACACATTGTAGGAAGACAAGGCCTGCGGGAACTCTGAACACTGTATATGCACCAATATGCAATGTTTAACTTTGTTTCTGTCCTACATGTGTTGTGTGCGTCTACATTCACTGACAGCTACAGGCCGAGGTCTGATGGGAAGTCCTGACTGAAGAAAAACAATACAGCTTTAAAGCTTTAAAATGAAAAGATATTTAATTATGAATCTATATTCATGTCCAGATATCTACAGTATAAATAATCAAACACATTTTCTAAAGTTTCTAAGTTCAATGTCTGTTTGCCATCAGATCCTGTTGCCATGTCCAGTATTATATTATATTATATTATAGTATTGCTATTATATTTGGTCTATTGGTTTGTTTTTTTCCTGATTAGCATCTCACCAAACAATAAAATCTAAAAATAAAATATCTTGTATTTTGTGTATCTTATACTGTTCAAGTGCACAAACCTTATTTTTGTCAGCTGAAATAATAGTTTAGTTTTAATGTAGCATTTGAAACACCTATCAACCTTGTTTCTATAAACTATCCCCCCCCCCCTTACTTCAGTATTGCTCGTTTGCGGCTTTTATTCTGAAGGTCAGTGTGTTTCCGGTCGACGCGGAGTTCGCCTGACTTGACGCTGCAGCGTGTCTGTGGACGGTGGAGGTTTGTTGTGTGCGGCGGTCCGGCGGGGCGGAGCTACAGAGACCAAAGTGAAAGATTATTCCCAAACGGAGGACACTTTACTGGGCGGAGACAACAGTGGACACAAAATATACGAATACCAAACCAAACTATTTAACACACCATAGAATAAAAGGCAGGAAACAGCACATAAAGATGTATAGATTAACAGTAGAGATAGATAAAGTCTGTATAAACTGGAATATATAACTACATTAAAATACAATAAAAAATATTATAATATAAGAAATATTTGTTTAGAAAAAAAAACATAAAGAAAAAAGAGGGAGGAGTTCAGTTACTGTAGAGTACACCAGGGTTCAATAGGGACAAATAGGCGATATGTTCTATTATTCTTTATTATATATATTTATTTACCCATAACACCCTGCGTAGACCCACAGAGATGTTTTTCCTCAGAGAAACTCCAACCTCAAGGTGTCAGTGTACTTAAAACGAAGAAACACCTTATTACTGCAGGTAGTCCACTACAGGCTGTGGCAATGATGAGGTTTTTTTTCCTTAAATGTTATAATGGACACTTTTCAATAGGGATTGATTATCTAGAATTACGTGTTGTTGATGTGAACATGGAGGTGCAAACATAAACGCCTTTGATTGTCTGAATGTGTCTGCCTTTATCCCCATTTGTATGATTTGTTTCTTTATTTGATTCCGTAACTTCATTTTTCTCCTATAGTGACTATTTAAAGGTCCAGTGTGTAGGATTTAGACATCTGAAGGTCATGAAACTCAAGGAAAACTTGAATCTATCTATTCTATCTAGAGCCAGTGTTTGTTTCCTCTGGGCTACTGTAGAAACATAGCGGTTCAAATTGGGGGCCTCCGTGGGAGAGGACCCCGCTCCCTCTGTGAATAAAAAACAACAGCTCATTCTAAGGAAACAAAAACACAACAATTCTTATTTTCACATGATTATACTCTTACATATCTATGACTATTATTGTCCATTTGTGCCAATAGAGCCTAAATGTTACACACTGCACCTTTAATTTATCCTCACCAGTATCTGTTTGGCATCACTCCTCTGTGCTGTAATTTAAACACTCTTTAGTAACGCACAGTCCAAAAATTACTTCCCCAAATCATTTTGTTTTTAACTATTGTTAAATTTTTGGGGCATATTTGGGGCATCTCTAACAAAAAGGTTGTTAAGTTTTCTGCCTCAAACTGTTAAACCCACCGACACAATCCAGAGGGGAGCATCAGGAAACCATTATCACATGACTCATCACTGATACTGTGATACAGGATACATACTGTTGTAATTCCACCGTATCAAACATCCAGACTCTTCACATTCAGCCCGACTCGCGTACAGCAACCAGCAGATAATAAACACCGAGAGTAAACACACTTTGTGTATTTTACTGATTCACCCGGCAACAAGCTGAGTCACAGCGCCGGCAGCTTTCCTACCAGCCTGATTACCATGGCAACCAGCATGCCACAGTGGTATGTGTGTGTGTGTGTGTGTGTGTTTTGCTGAATCACGGGAACACCATCACACACACACCAGCCTGGTTTCCATGGAGACCAAGTCCCCATGCAGAATGATATAAGAATAATAAAACATCATAAACTAATAAATGTTAATGGTTGATCTTCTGATTTGATTTAATATATCTACTAGCTCGTTTTTGCAACTACAACCAGGGGCTTCTGGGAGTTTTGGCTATCAGGGGGGTTTGAGCTTCAGGGGCGTTTTCGGCCCCAAATGGTTTTTCTCAAACTCCTGACTTTTGCTGTGTCTCCCTTAACAAGTCAGAAAGGTCATCATTTTTGGTCCTCCCAGTGTGGTGTGTGCAAACACTAGGTTTACCATCCACCCTGTTTTATGCCAGATACTTGGGTGTCATTCTCGGACTCTGAACTCTTGCTGAAAAAGATTAGGCTCGTTTGTCAAATGGTTTTTACAGTCGGAATGATCTCCCGCCTGTCTATGTTGAGAAAGTTATCATGCTCTATATTACATCACGGGCTGGATTTTGCATTCCTCTAACTTGGGGCCTCCCCTCCTCACTTAGGCGGTCTAGCAGCTGCGGGTCCAAACGGCAGCTTGGCCGGTCTTTCTAACTGCGCACCAGGGAGGCGTTTGCACATTCACCCCTCATTTTTCCGGCCTCCTTGCACTGGTCCCAGTTATTTTAGGATTCATTTCAAAGTTTCTTATTATTGGGGTTTTTTAAGGCACTAAATGTTGGCTGGGCCTCAATATACATCGCTGACCCTTGTAAGCCCTATTCTGCTTCAAAGCGGTCCCTTGGGGAATCCTCAAATTAAAGGGGCTTTTTGCATGTTTACCGCCGCTGAACGGTCAACAGGGAGGGGGTAGGGCTTTCTTGCATTGCTGCCCCACTCTTTTCGTTGGAACCAGCCTCCCCTGGGATATCTAGATCTGCCCCTCATTTCTGCCTTCCAAATTCCAGGCTAAACAACTCACTTTCTATCCCTGGGCCTTTCCCTGTCTTCATACCCTGTACTCCTGGCCCTCATTCCTATGTATTTCTGTGTTGGTGGGCGCACACCAATATTTGAAGGGTTTTCTTTCAATTTCATTTATTGGAATTATGACTATTGGACCAATGTTGTTTTTTTTCTGTCTTTATTTGCTTTTTTCAGTTATTTAACACATGGGGTGTTTTTCTGTATTATTTTTGCCTCTTTTTAGTACTTCCACTGTACAGCACTTTGGTCGTTTTTATCTGGTGTTTAATGTGCTTTATAATTAAATTTACTCTACTTTACTTACTTACTTACCCTACTTA